CTATTGTCTAGCACTTTCAAATTAGGGACGGGTAGAGCCGATACCCCTTCACTAGCTTTGTGAGAAATCCACCAGTCAAACAAAATCTTTAGCACTGCTGTTGTGGATTTTAAATCTTACGCGCAATGTTTACACGTTCTCTTGTCGGCATCGGGCTTTAGGTCTTATAGACCTGGGAGGGTCAAGTGCAGTTTGACCTCTTCCTCCTTCTTTGTCTATTGGTTTAATAGAGGCTTGTAGTGGTTTCTTTTTTTTTGTTTCGTTACCTTTATCCTTTTAATGGCCATATCCATGAATTTGATCCTATGGCTGATGTAAGTTACGTTCCGATATGGGGTGACTTTTATTTTTATTGGCTTTAGAAATTTTATTAGTTATTTGTGTAGTATAGGGGCTCATGAATATACGGATGATGTGCGGTATTACATGTCTAAAGTGTTGTTTGCTATTTCTATTAAGAGTGTGATAGGTATTTACTGTTTAGGGGGTCTCTGTACTTTTTTTATGAAATCCATGAATGTATTTTTAACGGCTTCGAAGATAGGATTTGTTTCTGATTGTTCAGTTCGGTTACAAATGTATTTTATTGCTGGTTTTCTGTGATTGAACTTTTGTTTTGTTGTATCTTTGAACAGTTTGGTTGTTTCTCGAATTGTTTTGTTAGTTTTTGCTTTAGTGGTTGTGACCGTGCTGCCTCTGCGTAAGTGTATGTTGTGATATGTACGGGTGTGTTTTGTGTAACTGGTGTAGGTAATAATAGTGTTCTTCTGTTACAGTTTATTTCTTGATTGTTTGTGTATGTTTTGTTACGTATTGAAATTTCAAATACCCTAAAACTGAGTTAAATTGTAATTTAGATTTAGTAGTTAAATAAATGCCGATATATATACAATTTATAATATTTGCCAACAAGATTGATACACACAATTTTCTTTTTCTATACAAATATATTTTAATATACAAACAATAATACAATTTACAACAACGGTTATTACAAACAATGATTTATATACAAAAGTTTTACAAACTTACAAGCAATATAAAGTCTTCTTTCTAGTCTGGAACTTTCTTGATATCTTATCAAGGGTTCACAATGAGCGAATTAATAGGGAGTTAGCTAGATGTTTTTCCACCGATGACGTTAGGTAATGTTTTCGTAAAAGTACTAATACTCAATATGAATTCACTGAATTTAAATGGTTTATAATGTTCGAAATTTATAAATGTTCCTGGTCAAATATCTTAAGTTTTTCCTCTTAATAAGCGTTATAACAATCACATTTATAGATTCCGAGGTTTATAGTATACCAACCAAAGCAAACCAACAATATATGCTGTTTTTGACGCATCGCGTTGGTTATATTTATAGGCGTGTGGATAGTTTCTCGAAATTTCAGTTTACGTAACAATACTGACGCTAACACTAGCGTTTACGTACACAGATATATTGTTGATAGGCGGGAGTTTCGCAATACATATTTAACAATATAAGTTATGTACATTTATAAATATAAATTTAATTTAAACAAACATCAATATTCAAATAAATATATAATAATAAATCCGTCATAGGTTCAATTTGCTTCGTCTTATTGTGTATATTGTAAATTCTAGTTTTGATATCCTTACATTTAGGACATCCTTTATAATCAGCTGTGTGTTACTGTTGGCAGCTACAACATTGTGGGTTATTGTGTTGTTTCGGACATTCTGAGTTATAATGGTCTCCACCACAATCCACACATCGTGGGAGAGAATTAAATGCTGCAACAACGTGTCCGTATCATTGACAACTATAACATTGGGTTAAAACTATGGCAGGTGTTTTTGTTTACATGTTAGCTTAATCAATCATCGGAATTTGGGTCTTTTGACGACCTGGGAGGGCCAGGTTCTTAATAGGCCTCTTCCTCCTGCTTACATGATGAGTTATAACGTTCCGCTGTTTTAAAGGTACGACGCATGTTTATCTGTTGAGTTATAATGTTCCACTGTTTTAAATGAACGCGAAAACTGTGTATATCATAATGGTGACTCAGGTAAAGTTTTGATGTGTCAAAGTCATCTTTCAAAAGCTATGTTTTTACTGAAATACTTTAAAGTGACGCAGAGACTATATTCGTAGGAAACATTACAGAAGAAGAGCTTTAAACTGTCAAAAAATATTTCAATTGTACATTTTTACAGGAACTAGTATGTATGTATGTATATATAGATATATACAAACACATAAGGTTAAGTATGAGTTATTAAAAAGACGTGAAATATGCAAAATATGCCGTGACAAACACAGCCGATATTAAATGGCCTAAAGCGGAATGAATATATCAGAACTATATTTTGACATTGTTTGGCATTGCATAGATAGTGTGGTATCATTGAAAATTGATTGATTTGGGAAAGAATACCTTTTCGATGCAAAATATTCATTCTCTCAAATCATAACTATGTGTTCAGATTGGAAATTTAGAACTTTCAAACGGGAATATCCCTTGTACTTAATGTCATTGGAAAAAAAGAAGGATATGGATCAACTTGTGGAACTAGGAACATAGAGACCTATAAAAAGTTGTGGTAAGCAGAGTGCGGTGCCTTGTATCAACTGAAAACCTGTGAATCGTCCATGTGCCCTAAGTAACAATATGCAACATAATGGTATGAAATCATCCGTCACATACCTCAAGCAGTTGAAAAATTAAACGGATGTTCATGCTATTCCATAGGCTCTAAAATCGGTTTTCTAATGTACTCAAAATCTCTCTATATATGTACACTTCAGAAATTAGGATTTAATAACATTTATCTCTCTCAACACAGTCTCAGCCAATTTGACCGACCACGTGACCTCTTTGTACTCTATTAAAGACTTTATAAATTTAATACTTATAACTTTCAATATAGTGTGTATATCTTCAAAAAATATTGGCAGTATTTCAGTTCATATTATAAGTCTTTCACATATAAAAAACTCAGCGAATTTAGTGAATTATTTTTAATAGAATAAAATATAGATATGTCGATTAATATATTGAGTATTTGTTTTGAACAGTCCGAGTGCAAAGTAATTTTCAGTGTTAAATTTAAAAATACTTTTTCTCATCTCAAAAATCTCAAATTTCCTTTGTGTTTTCCCTAAAATCTCCTAAACGCATTTCAAACGTTTTGTTTTTCAGTAAAACTTTATAGTTTATATGTTAGTTTCTCTATCCTATCTCAAAACGGGATGGTCAATTCGACCGATCTCGTAACCACCAAAAAAATCGAAATAAACCCTTTTCTCTTTCTAGAATGACTTCAAATTGTAACATGAAACTATATTAATTTATTCTAATTATATTATTATCATTACTTATTTTACCTAATCTAGTCTTAAATGACTTTAAAATATCAATATTTTTAGATTTTAGCTACTTTATGATGATAAATAAAGGTTAAATATGAAAAACAAGAAATAAAGTACTTACCCAATCTTCTTTTTTCTTGCTCTCGATTGTGGAGGACAGTTAAGCTTAATTTCTTTATAGTAATTATAGTAATGCACTTAATACTTTTTATTTGATTAAATATTGCACCAAAGAATATAGACCAATAACATGCAAAAAGTAGACCAATTCACTTACCTCTCAAAATTTTCCTGCCTTTTAAACTGTGCGACAAGAGCTGTTACAAATTCATCGAAGCTAGTGGTTAACTTTCCCATGGGAACGAATCTTGTACTGTGAGTGAAATTAACGATATTCTGTTAAAACACAACGTTATACAATAAGTCTTATAATAAATGAAAATCTTGACTTTCTATTGGTTATAGATGATATATAATGAAACGTAAGAGAAAATTATCCACGAATTGTGAAAGAGAGGATGTGATAGATGGGTGTGGCAGGAGGTGTCTGATTTTCTATTTGATAGCTCTGTAACCAAACAAAATTGAGGACTATAAAAATTATGGTTTGTTTGAGAAATAACGACTTTATAGAGAGTATTTTACGTTTAATTTCGTACTTTTTCGACAGGTGGTAGATGAAATATGGATAATCACATGCTAAGAGAAAATGTGTCACGTGGGTCACACTAATAGAAATTCAGGATTTTTAAAAATATTATCTTGTAGAATTAATAACTTGAAACTTGTATAGTATTAAAACATGGATATTTAGCTAAGTTTTATGCTATTCTATTTGGTATAACATAAAGAAAAAGAAGTTTAATAAAATTTTGAATGTAAGACACTAAAACGTTGTGTCATGCGGAGTAAAGGATACCCAGGACGATCAGGTGATGTTTTTACAGTTTTTTACAAAGATTCCAGCCAAGCTTACTTCTTTTTTTATGTGTGTATACAACCTGACAAGGATTCTAGACAAGTAATCTTTTATGGTATATGTTTTAAAACCTTTCATACATTGTACACATGTATTTTGTCCTCTGCACTATGTATTCTAAAATCTTTAACATAATCAGATGTTTGATCTAATGGGTGGATATTGATTCAGTAAAAGTTATTTCTATAACAGTGCATGGTTTAAAATAAAACTAGTGTTATTGCAAATTGTTCTTTTTAATTTGCAAAATCAAATCAATATTTTTGTAGATAAATTTTCGATTTTCTGTAAATATGATCACCTAAATAATTTTCCTGACGCTTATATTTTACATGCGTGATACCTTTCTTTGTGAAACGCAATATTCTATTAAATGATAATAAAATTCCTTTATGATCAATCTATAAAAACTATTTTTATCTATTTAAAAATTCAGTTTTTTAATATTTTACTTACACTTTTTCTGTTTAAACCTTTTTAATTCAACAAATCTTCAATATTGTTTATCAAGCAATATTTATTTATCTCCAGGTTTGATTTCCTATTTGAAAAATTTATTAATTCTCAGAAACATAACGTTGTCAATGTTTCGTAAGATTTGTGATCTCAAATTAATTTTAAGATGTTATAGAAATATAAAATATAAAGGTATAATTTAGGATTTTTTGTTTTTGTCAGATCCAGACGAATTTCTTCCACCATCTTACTCTTCAGAGCGAGCTGAACAAATGTTCTTTCAAGTAATCATAAAAGTTTCCAAAACAGTGAAGGTCTTTCAATGAATACAGAGGAGTTTTAAATTTAATCCATATAAAGTCATGAAAGGTGGCCAGTGGACCCAAGGAAGATAACACCCATATTTTTTGAGGCCCCGGATAAGGGTATTAATTTTCTTGAGGTCATCGAATAAATTAGAAGAAACTGCCGTAATTAAGTTCGGATTCAAATCAAAGAAGGACATGACATCTATAAAACTCTTAATAGTCTAAAAATGATTAAGTTATATGTTTTAATACAGGAACTTAGCTACAGGAAATATCATCCAAAAACTCGTTGTTCTTTTTCAACATGTAAAGGTAAAATGCGTTTGGTGATAAGTTCAAGGAAGTGGAACTATAATAGCTAATTCATAATAATTAATAAAAGCTAATATTAAATGTATCAATATCCTTTTAAGTGAGTAAGTTAAATGATATTGAAATAGAAAGTAAAAAGTAAGACACTGTAGAAAAGTAGGTCAGGAACCATCCTATTAAAATTTATTAAAGATATTTAGTGAAACTGAAATACGCGTTCTGGATTTGTTGTTTGGGAGTAAGGATCTAGTTTTAATCTGGCATTTATCTCCTGCACGTGTGATTTACCAAAATCTTAGTTTCTAAACCTCGATGTACATGTTTACTATAAACCACACCTCTAACAACTTTTACAGTAATGGTAAAGTAAGTAGAATTAACTGTTCTAATCAGCATTCTTCAGATGTAAAACAATTAGAAATAAAATGTGTTTCAAAGACTTTCCTGTTTACGTTGTTTACATCATATATTTTCCCATGATGGATAAACTGCAGTTAGCTGGGAGGGCAGTTTCTCACCACCCATAATACAGTTATGGGTAATATTCTCTTAAAACCGCCACAACAAATATCATTAATAACACATTTGCGTTAGCACTAGAATTCCACACATAGAACATTTTGAATCATCATTCAATGAACTTCTAACAGAATTAAAAATATATACCATAAAATACAATAATAACAATATCATCAGTATAACTTGAATTATTAATAACATAAGATGTTCAATATCTTAATCTTACTAATATTATCAGTATAGCTATGATTCTGTAATGTAAGCTATTATGTATTCTAATCTTACTGATATCACCAGTATAGTGTAACGAGCGTGTGGGCAGCCCGTGGTCTTAGTCGTTGGATTCGACTTTACACTCGTTACAAAGAAATTTATTTGGATTTTGGGTTGTGCTGTCGCGAGCTGTCTGTAGCACACAAGCTACCAACCCGAGGAGGTTTACGTTTGGAATGAATAACTTACGCAAAGACAATTGAATACAAATCAAATAACTTCTTTATTTATACACTATTGAACATTTCATCCTTATCGAAACTCTCGGGGTTATCTTGAAACAACACTATCCCGAAGTCATCGAATTCTTCGTTTTGAAGTTCTAGATGTTGATTACGAAGACCTTCTATTAAGTTATCAATTAATTCTCTCGGCCATATTCGGTATAACTGCATTAACAATTATTCTAAGACATCTTTCAGTAGTTCCACTATAAGCGTTATGAAATCTACTATTTGTTTTTAGTACACTTAGTATTCTTCACTTTTCTCTCGTTATACATTATACGTTATTGAACCTTAAGTGAAACACTGTTATACTAGATCTGAAATATCACACTTATAAGGAGTTTGTGCAGCAATTTTCTTGTAGATTCTGGATTACTGCCATCCTTCATCTTTTGGAGTCAGAACAAACTCCAGGAGCAGCTTTATAAGTGCGAAGAAGTCGATTTTTTGAGTCAGAAACACGGAACTATGTACATAATTTTTAGTGGTTTGCCGATTGTTCAAGAAGTTTAGCAGATTTACTTTCAAAAGTACAAATGGGATCTTCCAGCAACAAGTGGACTATTCCATCGGACTGTAATCAAACTCCACTTCGTCATTGGTCCTTATAGAACTTAGTTCTGTCCCTTATCTAATATCATTGGCGAAATCATCCAAGTCAATTAACTTAGGGTATATAGAGACAAACCATGTAACTCTGATTTCTTCACTATGAGTATTTCATCCTTGCCTTTCATTGGTGTTCCATTTACTGCTTTTTTGTGACATTGGCTCATTTTGTTGCGTGTTTGATCTAACTATCGGGGTTTTCTCAACATACCACATCTGTCTGGTGCGAGAATTGATAGCTGTGAAGTCTTGCACCTCTGTTATCACGACTGGAGTGTCCCGGTCCTGCACATGGGATTCAAGCCTATATCTTCCTTATTTAGTATTGTGGTTCATTGGGGTCCACGTTTTTCTTATAACATTTTCGATCTGCTGCTTTCTCCATACTATACGTTATAAACGTTAAAATAAAATAAAATGTACTTCTTGAAAACTTTTAAATATGTATATACTTAGTATATGTATTCCAGAAATGCTTCAATAGCTTGGATTCTGTAACGTAAGCTGTTGAATATCTTAACCTGACTGATAAGACCAGTATAGCTTGGATTCTGTAATATAAACTGTTCAATACTCTGACCGTACTGATATCTCCAGTATAGCTTGGTTTGTTTGTTTTGAATTTCGCGCAAAGCTACCTTACTTAACTCCGTTGATTAGCCATAGTTTCGAAAAATAACAATCCAGCTTGGACATTGTTGTGTTGCGTGTTTGAAAAATATCAATCCAACTTGATATATTGTTTATTTGAAGTTTCTAATGATAATAGTCTGGCTCGGTCTAGAAACTTGTCTGAAAATAACTAAAGTAATAATCGTCTTACTTGTTACTGCTCCATATTTTTGCAAGAAATATATTATTTTGCAAATACTTTAAAAATATACTGACATGATGAACCAAGCGACTAATAGTTATCGATAAACTCAGCTATATTTATGAATTTATTAGTCAACTGAGATGAATCGATCTATATATAATCAACTATTTTCATGATTTGATCAATCAAATGGTCAGTATTAGTCCATTTTCATGATCTGATCAGTCAAGCGAACAGCATTAAATCTACAACAGTATTTGAAGCTAATAACTAGTGTTTATGTGTTTCATAAGTAAGGCATACTCTATTCTTGCTTATATGTTACTTTCGTTAATAATATTGGTTACAATGTTTAATATATCTGTTATTATTGTTATAGGTTTATTTGGGGGAATATTTTGCATCGTTAGCTTAGTATGTAGATCTAGGACTAACCTAAATCTCCTAAATTAACTGGAACTCGTGAGACATTATTGGGTCTACGACCGAAAACGTCGCTAATAGATGGGGTATACAACTGAAGAAATGGTGTATTTTCGTGTTTATAAGTAAAAACAGTATACTTAATTGACTATTCTCTCTACCGGGTTGATTTTTAGTTTTGCTATGATAGTAATATTAATAATAACTATAAACTAGGATTTTCTGTCTTTTTCAATCAAGTAACCAGCATTAATATTTATGGCCAGTTTTCGATATGACCAATTATGTGATGACAATTAAACGATATGATGATTTTAACTGACGTGACGAGTCGAATGACCAAAACTGACCTATTAATGCAGATTATCTGTGGTGTTCAGCACATACCGTACATTAATACTTGTAGTCAGTTTCAAGGTTGTATGTTAGGTGACGAAGATTAAACTATATGATAAGTTTTCTTGACATGAAAAGTGTCAAACATTAACAAAGTCAGTTATTTTTTCTCACATGGTTAGTGTTAAGCTATAGGGCCAGCTTTATTCTATACGGTCTCTCCCAACTGAAAAAAGAAAAGAAAGAGAGATCAACCAGTCATATGCACCATATATATACCAGCACATTCTTGAAAGTTGTGACAAAAGTTTCATACCACGAAATTGGTAATTTTCCCACCGGCTGTCAACGTATTAAGATGCTTTGATCAACTGCTTTATGGAAATGAAACGTCGAAAAGACTAAGAAACACAAAATCAAATTTAGTTTCGATTAAGTTAACGAACTTTAAACAAAGAAAGTTTCGTTTTGAAGAAGCGATTATCTTATGAATTGTAATTAGAGAGACGAAGAAATATTATTATTAGGTAAAACCCAAAATACAGCTTCGTTTCCTTGGAAACAAAGCAACACTATATAATCAAAATGAAGTGGTTTCGTTTCCTTGGACAGAGAGCAATACTATATAATCAAAATGAAGTGGTTATCTGTCCCGTTATCATAGATCATTAACGAACTCTTTCAAAGAAACAAGGCTGTTATGTGTTGCTATGGTTACCTGCAACGAATATAATGGGCGTGTTACGAAAATGTGTATTCAGTACCTTACCTCCGGAAATTATTTTTCCATTAGCCTAAACATTTTACTTTTATTTTCCACTTTGTAACTTAAACTTTCATTATTGTAGAATCAAAAGGCTATTAAAAAATTCAATTACTTAAACTATTTTTGTTAAAAGGTAGTTTTTTTACATGCATATTTAATATCCACAAACACTTCAAGCTGTCAGTCATGTTATCATGGACCCCCTCCTAAAAAGTGAGAATTTTTTATATAAGTTTAAATTGATAAAAAAAAACGCAAAACGTACATGTGTTAATCTACATGTAAGGCGTAAGGATCGGATGTGCGTTTATGTGTCAGTTTTATCAGGACTACACTTTTTAAACCGATCCCTGCTACCAATCTTCGTCGGCGTTCCGGATCAGGTCTTCCTATATCATTCCCTGGGTGTCCCTTAGTTTCTTCTTGAGTTGAACGGGAATGTCAGCTAGTATATATATATATATGCATATCACACAGACAGCTATCTATAAATCTATTCGTCCATCAATCCATACCTACCTATATTCCATATATTTGTATTGTGTATAGCCTCTCCTTTTCAAAGAAATATTACATTAGGTAAAAAGAAGAGACAGATAAGGTATAAGAAGGGTGTAAAGAGAAAAATGTGACGTTACATACTACACTTGAGTTAGGAAACACATTGTGCTAATATAATAATAGGTAGGCAAACAACGATTTATAAGCATAAGGAATAGTTTTATAGAGTTTGGGAGTTTGATCACATATTCTGGCTGAGAAGATAAAGAGGGTTTTAAAACTACTGGGATTTTCACTAATATTCTGGCTGAGAAGATAAATCGCGTTTAAAAACCACTGGGAGTTTCATCACATATTCTGGCTCAGAAAATAAATCGCGTTTAAAAACTACTAGGAGTTTCATCACATATTCTGACTCAGAAAATAAATCGCGTTTAAAAACTACTGGGAGTTTCACTAATATTCTGGCTCAGAAAATAAATCTCGTTTAAAAACTACTAGGAGTTTTATCACATATTCTGGCTCAGAAAATAAATCTCGTTTAAAAATTACTAGGAGTTTTATCACATATTCTGGCTCAGAAAATAAATCGCGTTTAAAAACTACTGGGAGTTTCATCATATATTCTGACTCAGAAAATAAATCGCGTTTAAAAACTACTGGGAGTTTCATCACATATTCTGACTCAGAAAATAAATCACGTTTAAAAATTACTAGGAGTTTCATCACATATTCTGGTTCAGATGATAAAGAGCGTTTAAAAACTATTGTGAGTTTCATGAAATGTTCTGACTCACAACCCCAAAAAATCTTGGTAGTATTAATGGTTTTAAACTTTTTCAAGCCCCGTAGGGTTTTGAAAGATTACCAGGAGCTGTCAGAAACTTGAGTTTCTCTTCATCCGCACGTGGAAAATAATTAAGCTTTAAAGTGGGGGTGAACAATTTTTGGTCTAAGAGCCGACTTTTG